GGAGCAGTCGTCGGGGGGAACGAGGAGGAGTGAGGAGCGCAGCGCTGCCGTCCCTCGACACAGGGGAGACAGGTAGGAGCAGGCGAGGGTGGGAGGGCAGGAAGGACCCTGGGCAGGCCAGAGACAAGGTACCGAGAGTGCATGGCACGAAGCCGCTGCACAGACGGGTGGCCAAGGCGGTGGTGCCAGAGGACAGTCTCGTGTGCCAAAGAGCGACACGAGCAGGGGGCCGACAGCTGACCTGACTCGGACGCGGACGCAATCGCAGCAACCTGAGGGGACTCAGTAGTCAGTGTGTACAGGTCCGACCCCGGCTGCCGAGTGAAGGTAGCCAAGTGACGGCCCGTACGAGCACACGTGCAGTGTGTCACGCGCTCGTAGGCAGGGGTGAACTGGTGAACACCCCCGTCCTGGAGTGCACATCCTGCCACCAAGTTTGTAGAGAACGAGGGGAGGTGGAGACCTGACAGTGTGCCCGACGGGACCGCAGGGCAGGGAAGGACAGTGGAAGAGGTCGCAATGACCGGACCCCCAGAGGGGTCAGCAAGGGAGACAGCAACTGGCCGAGCAAGCGGCTCAAGGGCAGTGCAGTCACGAAAGAAGCAGCGAGAAGCACCTGAGTCCAGTGTGAAGGTGTGCAGTGCGGTAGTCGACGCAGTACCAAGGGGGGGAGACACACGAGCACCTAGAGCAGCAGCCTCACCAGCACCTGGGGTAGCCGACACGCGAGTACCAGGAGCGGCAGACGCACTGGCCCTAATGCCCGGGTCGGGCGGCACACACAAGTACTCAGCACCCTCTCCACTAGTAGACATCACATACATGGCAGATAGAATAGCATCAAAGTCTAGAGCATAGATATCAATCCCCTTCTTTAGGAGATCAAGCCAGCGAGGAAGCTCAGTGGCCTGAGGGAACTGAACACGCCAAGCGTCGTCGAGACGAGAGAAGCAGCGCTGTGTGGCGTGCGGTCGTCCACACTGCTGACCAGTGCGGTCACCAGTGCGAATGACGTACGTGCAGCTAAGACCACCCCCACCCCCGTGCTGAGAGTACCACTCACGGACCTCCTGGGGCGAGGGAGTGTGCTGCTGGCCCTGGCCACCGCCAGTGCCTCCACGGCCACCACCACCGCTGCCACCTCCTCGACCACCCCAACCCCTGCCGCCGCCTCGTCCACCGCCACCCCAACCGCCGCCTCCACACCTGCCACCTCCCCCGCCGCTGCCGCCACCACCCCCACCGCTACCACTCGCCCCTCCAGCCGAGCCACCACCCCCACTGCCTCCACCGTCCCCAACGCCGCCTCCCCCGCCGTCACCGCCACCACCCTTGCCCCCTTTGCCCTTGCCGCTGCGGCGTCCGCTCGAGGCAGACGCAGCGCCGACCTTCTCAATACCAAAAAGGTCGACAGCAGCAGCAGAGGCGACAGAGGGAAGAAGGGGGGAAGAAGAACACCCCTCAAAGAACGGGGTACGGAGGTCGCCACGAGAGGCACCTACAGCGACTATGCTAGTCTCAGCTGCAAGTAGCTCCTTCTCAAGGAGGGCAATGGTGAGCTCAGTGGGGCAACGAGCTAGGAAGTGGTCCCTGACAGCACGTAGTGTGTCAGGGAGGCGGGTGACTAGGTGGTAGAGAGTGAGCTAGAGTGGAGGGGGGTGCGTGGCAAGGAACTCACCACGCATGGCGGCACGGAAGCGGGCCTCACTAGTACGGAGGTGCGTGATGAGGTCAGCGACTGTGTGAAAGGAGGCCAGGTCGGGAAACAGGTAGGAGAGGGAGAGACGGCCTAGTGCGGCAGAGGCAGGTGAGGAGTAGCGAGCAACTACAGCTGTGTACAGTGCCTGTGCAGTCTTGTGCTGACCAAAGTGCTCGCGTTCGTCTATCGGCAGGGAGTTGCGAATGGCGAAGCGAGCGTGGGCATCACGAGTCTGCCACTGTGAGCGAGCAGTGCTGTCAGCAGTAGGAGCAGGGCAGTGACATGGCCTAGGGCGTGATCGTACAGTGAGATGTCATCCTTGGCTGTGAGTTGTAGGTAGAGGTGCAGGTCATCGAGCCAGGTGTCAAACTTCACAGGGCGGCCCTCAGCATCGAACACGAGAACCTGTGGGCTAGCCATAGGAACAGTAGAAATAGCAGCAATAGCAGTAGGAGAAGCAGGTAGGACGAACCAGGTAGGGCAGGGCGGCGCGGCTCGGTTCAGGTCGGGTCGCGGCTCGGCAGGGTGGCGCGGCTCGGTTCAGGGCGCGCGGCTCGGCTCGGGGCGCGCAGCTCGGGTCGCGCGGCTCGGGTCACGGCGGGGACGGGCCGCCCGCTCTCCCTCGTGTGCTGCGGCGGGAACGGGCCGCCCGGGGCCTCTAGGTGGTGGGCACGGGTCGGCGAGGTCGGCACGGGGCCGGTTGGGGCCCTAGAGGGGCGAGCGCGGGGCCGATCGGGGCCTGAGCGGGGCTAGCGCGGGGCCAAACGGGGCCTTGACGGGGCTAGCGCGGGCCGACGGGGCCTGAGAGGGGCTAGCGCGGGGCCGACGGGGCCTGAAACGGGGCCAACGGGGCCTGAAACGGGGCTAGCGCGGGCCGACGGGGCCTGAGAGGGGCTAGCGCGGGGCCGACGGGGCCTGAAACGGGGCCGACGGGGCCTGAACGGGGCTAGCGCGGGCCGACGGGGCCTGAGAGGGGTAGCGCGGGGCCGACGGGGCCTGAAACGGGGCCAACGGGGCCTGAAATGGGGCTAGCGTGGGCCGACGGGGCCTGAGAGGGGCTAGCACGGGGCCGACGGGGCCTGAAACGGGGCTAGCGCGCGCCGACGGGGCCTGAGAGGGGCTAGCGCGGGGCCGACGGGGCCTGAAACGGGGCCAACGGGGCCTGAAACGGGGCTAGCGCGGGCCGACGGGGCCTGAGAGGGGCTAGCGCGGGGCCGACGGGGCCTGAAACGGGGCCAACGGGGCCTGAAACGGGGCTAGCGCGGGCCGACGGGGCCTGAGAGGGGCTAGCGCGGGGCCGACGGGGCCTGAAACGGGGCCGACGGGGCCTGAACGGGGCTAGCGCGGGGCCTGAACGGGGCCTTAAAGGGGCCGACGGGGCCTGAACGGGGCCGCTAGGGAGAGCGGGCGTGGGGCCGACGGGGCCTGAACGGGGCTAGCGCGGGGCCGTCAAGAGGGGCCTCTAGGGGCGTGACATACCGAGGCGCCCTAGGGCACAGGTAGGTAGGTAGGTAGGTAGTTACGTAGTGGTGGGCCCATAGAAAATTTCGGTCCTAGGAAGGACTTGCTCTATACCATGTTGGAATCATTGAACAGGAATGAATGAACTAGCAGTGAAATGAGTACAAGTACCTAACCCTAGAATTGTGTACCCCCTATAGGCTAACCCACTATAGCCTAAACTAACACAACATATATAATGTTTGACAGGGCGCTGGCGCAGGGCAGGGTACTGGCGCAGGGCAGGGCGCTGGCGCAGGGCAGGGCGCTAGCACAGGGCAGGGCGCAGGCGCTGGGCAGGGCGTCGGCGCGAGGCAAGGCGGTGTCGCAGGGCAGGGCGTGCGCGAGGCAGCGCGACGCAAGGTAGTGGGGTAACGCGGTAACCGCAGTCATAAGCTAAGTATGGTGGGCCCGGAAAAAAAAAAAACGGTTCTACGGACCTACTGCTCTGAAACCATGTCAAGATAGCAAACAGGGATGATTGCATTGAATGAAATGTGGGTACAAGTACTAACCCTAACTTCGGGTTGTACCCCATACGGGCTACCCCACTATAGCCAACATAGAACTAACACATATGGTATATAGTTTGACATCTGTGACTGTGCTTGTTGTGCTCGTGCGACATCGTTTTACAGGTACGTTAGTACTGCCGCCAGTGCCGCGATTTCCTCGGAATTTTCGCACAGCTGTTGCAGCTTTTCGTTCAGACGCTCCTGCATGAGACTCGTAACATTGATGTGCTCGGCCATGTCGAATGGCGTCGGCTCAGCTTAGTTATAGGCGCAGTCATGGCTGCACGTGTTAATGAGAGAACGCGAGGACAGCGGCTCCTAGGTGTGAGTCCCTTCGAGCAAAAATCAGAAGTTGATTTCTCTGGGTGCGGAGATGCGCGGTCTGTGTCAGTAGATCTGCACTGTGGATGCCCGATCGATCCTGGAGAGGGTTACATGCGCGTTTGCCTGGGGGGTTATGGGCGCACTGACCCGCTACTGAAACAAGCCCTTTTATCCCAATGGTCTAGTGGTTGGGATTCTGACATGGTATCAGAGCGGTCTCGGGTTCGATTCCCGGTGTATGCACATGTAGGCCGGTGCCGCTGTGCTCAGTCCTGGGCCTCCCAGTGTGGGGGGGTGTCAGTAGATCTGCACTGTGGATGCCCGATCGATCCTGGAGAGGGTTACAGGCGCGTTTGCCTGGGGGTTATGGGCGCACTGACCCGCTACTGAAACAAGCCCTTTTATCCCAATGGTCTAGTGGTTGGGATTCTGACAGTCCGAAAAGGAAGGTGGCTGTGAATACCAAGTGTTACAGGTGCAATGGAACGAGATAGCAAGGATTGCACTATGTGGGCAAAGATACAAAGTATGAGCGAAGGCGTGAGCAGTTACTTATGTGCGAAACATGCAACGGTTATGCGGTGCGTGCGAGCTAGCTAGTGCTAGGCTCGCATCGAGGTTCGGGCTAGTCCCGAAGCGTAGGCCGATTCGGCCGGGACAGTGGTGCATGGTTTGGTGAAACAGTGTGCGCGAAGTTGGCGAAACCCCGTTAGCATTAACGGGCGAACAACGGCTGCTGCTGTAGAAGATGTTGACGGTCGCGGAAAGGAATGTCGAGAAAATTCCTTACATTTAGTCTAGATATTCGTGTGCTTTGTGCACTCATACAATATTGAGCCCCATATTTTACAATTTGCATGTTTTTTCCCTTCGGGTTCTACCGTGCTTACTCCTAGCGCCACACAAGCTTGGTTTTCTCTCGGTCGGGAACCACTCCGCGCACATCCCATTCAACGTTTTCCATGGCCAGCCCACCGCACGCTGCCGTCTGCCGCCTCACGTCCACCACCCGTTTGAACCCCCACCGTCCGGCCAATCCCGCAACGCGTTCGTATCCAGGGCTCTCACTGCCCGCAGCCTCGTCGGTCGCCCCTCTCTCTTCCGTATCGGCCCTCCCCTCCTCCGCTCTCGCTCGCACTTCTTTCTCGCTATCCCCTCCGTTGTGCCCGTCGGTAACGTTCAATTCGAGTCTTAATGGCCTTGCGCCCGTTTCTGGAGATTTCAAAAGAAATCCCGGTCGGTCATTACGGAGGGTGCACGTGGCGAGAGCTGAGGGCGGCCGAGGCGCGGTGAGCGTAACGACGACGGTAGCGGATATTCAGGCGGAGATCGCGGAGCTCGAGGACGAGCTAGAAACGACGTTTGGGCGCGGTGAGGCAATGGCGGATGGGCGATGGGCGATGAATGAGGGAGACGTGATAAATATGCGGTCTGCATGGTAATGTAGGTCAATGTCTGTGCACAGGCCACGCGGAGCGCACTTCACATGCCCATCCCCGCCCCTTCCCGTCATCCATCCGCCCTCGCCGTCCCCCCTCTCCGTCCGTCGCCCCCTGCAGTGGAGGCGGCGTGGCGGCGCTACCACCGGCTGAGGGCGGCACTGGAGCGACTGGACGAGGCGGCAGCGAGGGAGAGGGGCAGGGCGGCGGGGCAGAGGGGAGGGCGTGCTACTGCCGCCGGTGCTAATAGCAGTGGCAGTGGCGACGGCGGTGGTGCTGTGCTGTCGACGCTAGAACGACTGGGCGTGGAGCGACAGCGAGTGCTGCATGCGCTGACACGTGCTGAGGCCCGCGCTGGCGTGCTGGAGCGACTCGTGCGCAGCCTAGCGCAGGTGCTTGCTCCCGTATGCACCCTGCACTTGGATGTGTTTCCACGTGCTCATTGCCTTCCTGCACGTGTCATCTCACACCAGTTAATGTGGCCTGCCTGGCCTCACAACGGTGTCCACCCCGTGTCTTCCCTCCCTGTCCTTGACATGTCTGGTTGGAGCCTGGGCGAGGGGTGCCAGCAAGGGGTGAGACTGGAGAGGAAAATCGGGAGTGGGCAACAGTTGTGAGACGAGGCGTGGGAAGAAGTTGCGTGGGAAGAGGGGGCGCACATGGCAGATCTCTTTCCTCCCCATTCCCCCGTTTCATCCTATCCTCCCATCCCTCCCTCACACGCGCAACAGGCCATTGCAATGCGCGAGCGCCGCCTTCTCGGCTCGGCATCAGTGACCCGCACCCCATCCACAGCAGCCCTGCAGCGGCCGAGGCTGCCCGCAGCACGGGGCAGCAGCAAGTGGAGTGCAGCAGCAAGGGGCCGCGGGCAGGGGAGTGAAGCGCAGCAGCGGCAGCAGCGAGCACAGGGGCGGCGGGAGAGGATCCTGGGGATGTACCTGGGGGAGGTGCAGGGGCTGCAGGAGGAGGTGCAGCGCAAGGTGGCTCTGCTGGAAGAGGTGCTGCTCGCACGCGAGGGGGAGGCGAGGAGGGATGAGCGCTTTGAGGCGCGTCCACGTGGGAGTGGCAGTGCAGGGAGGGAGGCGGCAGGGCAAGCGGTCGGGAGTGGTGAGCGGAGATGGAGTGATGCTGTGAGTGGAGCGAGGGAAGGTGGGCACGGGGATGGGGGAGAGAATAAGGGGCAGCAGAGCAAGGCAGACGGGCAGAATGGGGTTGATCAAGGCGGGTGGGGGAGCAGTGGGGAGGAAGGAACGGGTGAAGAAAGGGTTAAGTTGCAACAGGCAAGGCAGCTGCTGGTGCAGCTACAGGCACTCGAGAAGAGGTGCGGCTCCATTGTCCTGGCTCCCTTGCTGCCGTTTGTCCATCCGCAGTGTGCATGTGTCTTGGTGTGTGCATCGCGCACCTACACTCTGTCTCCCCTATCGCGCTTGCACTCTTTCACTATCGCAGTTGTGCCCTTGTCACTATTGCACTCGCACTCTTTTCCCCCCGCACTTTCCATGCCATTTTCACCCCTTTCTTGATGTGCCACTTCCTTTTGCTGTGTTTTGCAGCTTACATTCCAAACTTGATCGATGACAGAAACGTCCTGTAGCTGTTCTTTATTCCTGAGACAAGCTGTATCTTTTCCTGAGACCTGCATCATGGTTTGACTGAACTAAACATTCTGAACGTAGTCTCATTCCTGCATACCGTATGGCCCCGGATATAAGCACCGTCCTATTAAAGGCGCCGGCGCTTCTATCTGGAGCATGGCGCTTATGGCCGATACTCGATTATAAGCGCACCCCCTTTGAAGTCTAAACTTATTACCGTATAAGCACATCCCATTTTACATTCATTTTTTTTACATCCCTAAAACACTAAATATGTTTTGCTAAGCCTACCAAGATTGTAATGGCTCCAACAGTTCCAACATTTTTATGAATTTCTAACAAAGGCCACACACCTCGGAATTTGGCCTTTCTCATGTTGGGCTGAACGCCCTAGGATCTTTAGTAGAGTTAAAGTCTGAGTAAATGATGTAGTAGCGGAAGCGTTTGAATAAAGTCCTTGAACCACCTTGCGCTAGTATGTGAGGGCAAAGTAAGTTAATTAAAGCAAAGAGATACAGGAATATATATATGAGTACAGAGAATATGAAGAGACATAATTGTAACTGTTTTACTGTTGCGGTTCGATACAGTGCGACTCGGGCAACTGCTCAATGTCGAGTCAGTTGTGTGTCCTTGCTGTCGCGCTGCGTCAGGTCAAAGGTCGCTGACCTTTGACTTTCTCGTAACCTCCAGCGGTTACGTTAACCTCCGAGGGTTGACTCGCGGTGCTTCGATTTGAGCTGCTTCGCTTGTGTCTTGAGTTTCGACACGACAGAGGCGCTTAAGACTATTTGTTCCCAACACTCCCCTTCGCTTCTGGAGTGTCGCTAATGGTGACGTGGCTTTGTCCAGTCAGCAGCATGCAGTACTCGAACTTCTGTTTTCCGAGCTTCTTGGTCAAGTAGTCAGCTGCCATCTCAGACGTGGGACAGTAGGATAGTTTGAGTTTCCCTTTCTCGATCTTGTCTTTCACGAAGAAATATCGCAAGGCGATATGCTTCGTTCTGTTCGCGAATCCGCTCTTGTTGGCGATGCGAATCGCAGATTGGTTGTCGCAGAACAGAGTGAAGTTGGGTAACTCGGCTAACTTCGCTTCTTCCAGCAGCTCGCGAAGATAGAGTCCTTCCTTGGTGGCTGAGCAGAGTGCGATATATTCTGCTTCAGCTGAGGAGAGAGCGATTAGTTCCTGCTTGCTCGATTGCCAGGAGATAGGTCCGATAGGTTCGAGGCGGTAGATGTAGCCAGTGCGGGAGCGTCTGTTGTCTGAATCGCCGGCGTGATCGGCATCGACGTAGCCGATTAGTTTCGTCGGTGTAGTTTTACTCTTGTAGTATGTCAGGCCGATCGTCGAGGTGCTCACGAATTAGTGGAGAGCGCGGTCGAGTTCCGCCAGGTGTTCTGTTTCGGGCCTTTTGAGATAGGTAGCAAGTTGACTTGCGGAGTAGGACAGATCTGGGCGGCAGGTGACGGCTGCGAAGAGAAGGCAGCCCAGCTTCCTCTGGTAGTCGCGTATTCCGGCGGTTTTGAGTAGAGCGGGACCTCCTTTGTCGTTCCCTGCCGTGTAGCGGTATGGCGTGGAGATAGTGGTAGGTGTGAGCGAGAAGCGTTTGGCGATAGTGTCGGCATACTTTTCGGCGCTGAGATAGATCGCGTTCTCTTCTTCGCGGATGTTGAGTCAGAGGTACTGAGTGACGGTAGAGGAGACCGTGAGTGTAAGATCCCTCTGCAGCTCCCCTTCGAACCAGGTGGTGACGTCGTCGGTGGAGCCAATGTAGAGTAGGTCGTCGACGCAGACGATCAGCAGGATATAGTCGGCGTTTTTGGTGAGTCGATACATTCCTTGGTCGTCAGGTAGTTGGCGGAATCCGATGTGAAACTGAATGAACAGGAGAATGATCAACTGTAAAATGAAAACAGTACAAGTACCAACCCTAATTGGGTTGTACCCCTTATGTGCTACCCCACTACAGCCTACAACATGCATAAGCTATAGTAATCTGACACACCCCCATAGGCAAAGTGGGGGAGAACAAGGGGTCACAAGACCAGTCAAGCAAAGCAAAGCAAAGCTCAAGGTGGATCACAAAGTCACCACGCATTCCGAGCACAAGTTCAAAGGCCAGACGGCCAGTTCACATGCAAGATCATATATAGTGATATACAAGAGTCAAGCAAGCAAGAGCAAGAGTATATATAGGCGAAGGTACAAGCAAGGTCAAGAGGAGAGCAAGTGAGGCAAGACAGGCACAAGACCCAACTGCGTGCAACAACGCTGATGATCACAAGGCGCAAGTGCCTTGGTGAAGACATCAGCAGTGTTGGCCTCAGAGGCCACGTACGCAAGTCGCAACTGTCCACGCTGCTGTAGCTCACGAGCAAGAAAGTAGCGGAGAGCAATGTGCTTCGTTCTGTGCTCCAGTCGCTGCTCTCGACACAAGGCCAGCATGGCCTTGTTGTCTACGTACAGGACTGGAGGAGAACGAGGCTGCTCTCCAAGGTCGGTCAGCACGTAGGTGAGCCAGCGTAACTCCTGCGCAGCCATAGCCCCAGCGTAGATCTCAGCCTCACAACTGGAGCCGAGAACAGAAGACGAGCGGGTAGCCCGCCACGAGACAGAGCCGGAACCAAGGCTGAAGGTGTAACCCTGTGACGACCGCTGCGTAGCCTGGTCGTCAGCCCAAGAAGCGTCTGCGTGCCCAGTGAGGACCACTGGACTGCGCCCTCCAAGCACTAGCCCCATGCCCGACGTACTGCACAAGTAACGCAACACCCTCTTCGCTGCAGCCATGTGCTCTGGTCGGTGTCTCCCAGGAGCAACAAAGCGTGCGAGAATGCTAAGAGGGTATGCGAGGTCAGGTCGTGTGCAGGTCATCAGGTACATGAGGCAGCCAACAAGCTCTGCAAACGGACCACTCGACTCTACGGACTCATCCGAAGGCAGAGCTGAGAGCGAGTGGCGAGTAGGCAGAGGAGTGGCCTGAGGCGAGGAGTACGTGAAGCCGAAGCGCTGAAGGACCTGCTGCACCATGTGTGACTGAGTCAGGGTAATGGTGCGGCGTGCTCTGTCCCGGGTGATCTGCAAGCCAAGGTAGCTACGCAGTTCACCTAGGTCAGTGCACGTGTGTCTCTTCTGCAGCTCGGACTTCACATAGGCGAGTCCAACAGTGTCAGCTGTGGCAAAGACCAAGTCGTCGACGTACACGAGGATGTAGAACGGCGGCAGAGAGGTGTCGGTGCGCAGAAACAGCGACGGGTCGGCAGTAGAAGGAGCAAACCCAAGTGCCGCGAGCGTAGTCCTCAGTGTGTCGTGCCACTCACGTGGCGCCTGGCGGAGACCGTAGACTCGACGCCGGAGACTCCATTGGGTACCAGGAGGGAAAGACCCAGTGAAGCCAGGTGGGCGACGCAGCCAGATCTCCTCGTGCAGGCTGCCCTGCAAGAAAGCTGTGCTGAAGTCGAGAGAGTGCAGCTCGTAGTCGCGGTGAGCAGCAACGTGCAGCAGAACCCGAAGAGTGGTCATCTTCGGGGTGGGGGAGAAGGTCTGAAAGTAGTCAACCCCCTGCCGCTGACTGAAGCCACGAGCCACGTAACGCGCCTTGAAGACAGGCGGAGAACCCGGCGGCCGCTTCACCCTGAAAATCCACATGCCACTGACGATGTTCGCCCCAGGAGGGGGAACAGCGTCAACGTAGGTGCCTGTGGACTTCCAGGAAGCCATCTCTGCATCCATAGCTGCCTGCCACTGAGAGGAGTAGGGACCCTCTATCGCCTCCGCGTAAGAGCGCGGAGTCGGGATGTCTGGTGCATCCGGGTCTCCCTCAGGGGCTAGCAGTACAGACGCGAGACGAGGTGAAGCAGCGGCTAGACACTGGAACTCCTCCTGCCTGTCCTCAAGGACGTCCGTGCCAAGGGCACACTCACCCCCGACGGACGGAGGATAGGCGGACTCAGACTCAGTGACAAGACGAGCAGCGTAGTCTAGACGACAGCGCGCAGCAAAGTCGACAAGCTCAGTGACAAGGGCAGACGCAGCAGACGACTCGAAGGAAGGGTCAGTGACAGCAGTAGCAAGGAGACGCGTGACAGTAGGATTGGCAGCACGAAGAGAGTCCGACTCCGGGTCGGCAAGAGCAGGAAGAGAGGAAGCAGGAGGAGAAGGCAAAGGGGCACGCAGAGGAGCAGTGGACGGACGCAGTGACATCCGGTGCGTGCTAGGGACAGGAGGAGGACGCTGACGCGACCCGCGACCACTAGCGCGCTCAGTACGAACAGGCGACGCAGGACGAGACGCAGGCTCACGACGCTCAGTAAGACCTCCAGTCGGACCAGCGTAGGGAGAAGGAGCAGGCAAAGGGGAGGCAGGCTGTAGCTGTGGCTGTGACCGGACAGGCTGCGGACCCTCTAAGGGAGGAGGAGGAGGTGCAAGACCAAGAACCTGCTGCAGGAGCGGAACGAAGTACGGTCGGGGCCGCGCGGCGACGCCAGAAACAGCAGGAACAGCACCAGCAGGCCCGTCAGGAGCACCCACTCCAGCATCACCTCCAGCAGAACCACCAGAAGCTCTAGAACCTCCAGCAGCAGCACCAGGAGGACTGTCAGTCGGACCTCCAACCGCAGGCTCAGCGCCAACACCCTCAGCAGCACCAGCTCCAGGAGAGCTCTCAGACCCAGCAGCTCCAGCACCCACAGTACGAGCACCGCGAGGACGCGTGGCAGCAGTACCCTCTGCAGCCGAAGAACCACCAGCACCAGCAGCACGCCTCCAGCGCCGGGCAAACCACTCACGCAGCTCCTGTGAGGAGAGTGGCTCCCGGCGAGACGAAGCACCCCCAGGCACAGCACCCCCAGGCTCAGCACCCCCAGGAACAGCACCCCCAGGCTCAGCACCCCCAGGTACAGCACCCCCAAGCGCAGCACCCCAAGGAACAGCACCCCCAGGCTCAGCACCCTCACGCACAGCACCCCCAGGCTCGACACCTCCAG